AGGTAGCGCCAAGAGCACCCCATGTTCAGCCCCTACCAAATAAGGCCTAGCCTACATTTCTTTTTCAACATCAATCGCAGCACCAATTCGAATCCGCCCACACGCGTTTTAATCGATTGGCTAGTGCATACCCCTGGCCCCTGCCCTCGCTTCACGAGTGACCTCCCCACTGTAGATTATTTAACCCCCACACCTCCGTAGGCTGCAAGCTAAGGCAGCGCCTCCCTGCGCAAGTGAGGGTACCCTCCTCCATCCTCATTGCTTGCACAATCTGCGCAACCTAACATCTTGCCATTCACGGGGTGGGCGAATAACGAAATAATGCCGGTGAGTGTTTCGATATCCGAGCAGGTCGCCGCCATGGCTGCGCTGCACATCGCTGCGCGGACAAAGCAGCACCGCGGCGCCGTCTAAGCGGGGACCCCGGCCTAATAACTCTGGCCCAAGCTCGTCATGGTCACTGGCTATCCGACCTCGGGCAAGTCGACGCGGGCAAGGCAACTGCACGCCGACTTTTCGGAGCGGGTCCAGACGCCGGCTGGTTCCAAGTACCGCGTCCATATGATCTCGGACCAGACGCTCGGCATCTCCCGCGCCGTCTATGACTTGTCGCCCGACAAGCTCCCGGCGCACACCCGCTCGGCCAACGCCTCGGAGAAGGATGCCCGGGCCGCCATATCGGCCGCCGTGAAGCGGGCGCTGTCGCCCCGGGACATCGTCATCCTGGACGGCCTGAACTATATCAAGGGGTGGCGCTACCAGCTCTACTGCGAGGCCAAGAACCTGAGCACGCCCAGCGCTGTGCTGCAGATCGGGTGCGGCGTCGACGTGGCCAGGGGCGTCAACCAGGCGCGGCTGCGTTCCCTCGACGAGGGCCAGGGCGCCGCCGCCGGCGACGACGAGTCAGAGGGCCCCTACGAGCCGGGCAACTGGGAGAACCTGGTCTACCGCTACGAGGAGCCCAACGCCATGAGCCGCTGGGACAGTCCCCTGTTCGCCCTGGTCTGGGATGATGACGAGGCGCGCGCAAGGGAGGTGTTCGGCCAGCTGTGGGACAGCATAGCCGGGGAGGGGAGGAAGCAGGTGGTGCCGAACAACGTGGCCATACAGAGGGGGGCCACCGCCGGGGGCGACTACCTCTACCAGCTAGACCGCGAGACCCAGGACATCGTCAAGAGGATATTGGAGCTGCAGCCGGAACAGGGCGGCGGGGTCCTCAAGTTTCCACGCGCTGCAGCCGCCGCCGGCGGGGCCGAGGATGATCTTGTGCTCGAGCTCCCCGCCACCAAGGTCATGCTGCCGCAGCTCCAGAGGCTGCGACGAGCCTTCCTCGCCCTGAACAGGGGTGGCATAGGTCTTGAGGGTGCCGGCAACATGACGGTTGCCAGAATCCGCGAGAGTTTTGTCAGGTACCTCGGCGCCTCGTTTCGGGATGAGGAATAGTCGATAGATACAAAAAAGAAATGGCACCCACACTCTCTATAGATTGCTCTAACTATACCGAGAATTGTGCGTTTGTATATAGGCATATACTACGCTATTGAAGTAAAATACTAAGCGAGATCAGTCTATCGTTTCGAGGAAGAATAAGTACGATACACGAGATAGGGGAGCGTGAGGGTCAAAAAAGGGACAGATAAAAATATTTTCGAGTTTTGTTTTTTTGTTTTTCTTGCCATCCTACCGACCTACAGCAGCCTAACCAATTCCTATCCTCCCTAATTCTTACAACCGAAGCTTGGGCATCGCAAAAACAAGCAGGATCAAAAACATCATCAGGCCATAAACCATGACATACAGCTTCATACGGCCTATGAAGCCCTCGCCCTCGGCCATCCTGGTCAAGAACCCCATCTGCCGAGCGGCGGCCTCGAGGCCCTGCTCGTTCTTGTTTAGGCCGTCGCCGGCGCGGCTGAGGACGTGCTTGTCCTCCTCGAGCGAGCTCGCGAACGCCCGGGAGGACTCCTTCAGGGAGGACGCCATCCGAAGGATAGACTCGGACAGGAGGTCCTGCTCGGCCCGCTGCTGGTCGAGGATAGACTCGGTGGTGGCTAGCTGGCTGGTCGAGGGCGCGCGGCCGTCGGCGCTGTCGCCAAATAGACTGCGCCCCGTGGCGGCTGTGGCCGTGGTCGTGTCGCCGCCGCTGCCGCCGTCCGGCGTTGCCTTTGGCGCGCGCGACCGCAGCGTCTGGGACGTTGTGGTCCCCTCCGTCCCGGGTGGCGCGGATGGTCTGGCGGCAGGGCTTGGCTGCGCCGTTTTGCTTGCCTCCTGCCCTGTGCTGCTGGGGACGCGGGTGTTGTCGTCGACCCCCGACCCCTGGTCTGGCTCGTGTCCGGGCGCCGCCGCGGCGCTCGCGTGCTTGGCGGGGGCGGCGACGCAGGCTCGGGCGACGCCAAGTCGGCGCCCGGGTCCGCCGCGCTGGCCAGGTTGCCGCAGACCTCGCTGAGAATGTCCTCATCGCCGTCGTCCTCCTCGTCGTCCCCGCCGTTGTCGGCGCGGCCGATGGGCCCGGCGCCCCGGGCGTCCGCCATCTCGTCCAGGTCCCGGATCCTCTCGGCTAGCTCGTCTATGAGCTCGCGGTTTTGGCTCAGGACCGCCTGGAGCGCCTGGCGCCTGGCGTGGACCTTGACCGACAGGGTCTCGTGCTCCAGGCCGGTCAGCAGGGCCCGGGCATGTTTTATGCTCTGTGCGTGTGCAACTTGTTAGCGCGCGAGGTTGGCATCGCATGGGACCGGCGACCCGGCGCTTACGGTATCGACCTTGCGCCTCTCGAACTCGCTCGCCACCAGCCTCCGCTGCCGCTCGGCGTCGGCGCGCAGGGTGGACTGCTGGAGTCGGCTCAGCAGCCGGTTCAGTTCCGCGAGCGGGTCTACAGCTCGCGTGGCTGTCAAGGTTGACATGGTGATTAAATAGTGAACGCGGAGTTGGTTCTGGCACTACTTGTAGTCTGAGTTGCGCACGCGATATTCACGTGAGTGTTTTGGTGTGTGTCAAGTGCGCCGTTGGGCGAGGCTGACGCAGCCCGATCAGTGCATGTGGTTTCAGTATTGAGATGTGGTGTCTCTGTGGGCTTTTAGTTGGTTGGCCCCTGAAGCTGGCGCCTGTATCGAATTAGATTTAGATACCCTGTAGGGGATATGTGGCCCTGGGCTACCAGCCAATAGCGTCTCCACACGCCTAAACTCAGCCCAAAATGCAAAACTATGCAGCACTATCAGGATAAACCTCGATGCCGTCATGTGTCCACGACCAAATGAGATTCTCGCCAGACAGGAACAAGGCAGAAAAAAAAAGAATGCAAGAAAAAAGAAACCAAACCCAACGCTATGCTACGTTATCATCATGAGAACCAAACCAACTCCACCAACACTTCCCGCCGTATCGTCTAACTGTGCTCTGTAGCACCGGGGACGGCAGCAGATGCACAGCTGGGGGCAACACAACCAACATCTACGACACCTGTGGCTGCGTTGCATCCGCTGGCTGGCGGTGATCTAATCTGAAAGAGCAGAAACAGCTTGACAGTTAGTCGTATATTCAGATGCGGGTATCATGGCTGGCTGACTGTGATGCATGCCTCGACCGACGGAAGAACAGTGAAGGAAAGTAGCAGGGGGACCACCCGGAGGTATGTATCTGAAGCGCCCCTCCTCAGCACATGTCGGAGACGCCCGATCCTCCCAGTGCACGCCCGTTTTGTTCAAGAAGAAGCTCTTGAAAAGGGCGAGCTCGTGCTCGTACGTCTGGCAGGAGCCGCTTGGCCTGTAGTAGCTCGTCTGCGAGCTCCCCTTCTTCTTGTAGTGCTTGGCTGCGAACCAGTACAGATGAGGCCTCGCCCTAGACTCGAAGAGCTGCGTCGAAGGCAAAAGCGTCAGTTCCAACTTTCTAGGTCCTAGCTAGGCTATCCGGGTGGAATCGTCCCTCGAATTGGGGCCATACTGTAAGGTCGAACCGCTCCCCTAGTATCTCGTGCTCCTCGTCGTCGCGTGATATGGAGGCCTTGCATTGGAATCCGCTTGCGTCGGTGTAGATGCGGTACATTGCTGGTGCATATCTATCAGTTAGTCGCGCTGCTGTCTGTTCGTTGGCATGTGTACCATGTGGCATCCTTTGACGTATAGGGGGTCACGGAAGGATGTATATCTTACCCTCATTGACAAACCTCCCGCACTCTTCGAGCTCCTTCCCCTTCTCCATCTTCTTTGCCTCTCTTGCACTGGCCTCCTCGGCGCGCTTGTTGTTCCGCAGCAGGTACTGTCCCTCGCGCAGCAGCTTGCCTTCCTGGCAGCAGTACCTATGTAAATGGAAGTTAGTCTTGTATCGGGACCGAAAGGGGCTGAAAAGGCTGTGCTCTTTGTCGATCTCTACTCAAGATATCGCAATGGCAAGGGAACAGCATGGCTAGAAATTAGAACTCACTCGAGCCAATCCTTGTGGACGACGCGGCATCCTTTTTTGCCCTTGGCAAGCCGGAGTCCTTGCTTGACTGTAATCCGACGACTAATTAGCATATGCAGGTAGACTGGTAGGTTGTCTGCAGGCAAACCCTTAAGTGGGTCGACTTTGAGATGTGCCTATGTAGGACTTATACTTCCCTCGAAGGCTTCGGTTCTTGTACTCATTCTCGGAGCAAACCAGATGAGTTGTCGACTCGTCGATATTTGTGCATAGTTCGCCTCCACGAAGGGTTACCCATCCTTTGATCTTCTCGTCGGGCCAACCGAGGTCGCCAGTGATAGCAATCTTGAGACCCAAGAAGATCTGTTTGACCTTGGCCGTCACTGTTCGCCGAGGCATAGCTAGATAGCCTACCGGAACTATGGGGAAAAGAGCAAAGAGGTAGTGGTGACCAGCAATACCTAGCCTAGTGTTAGAAGGAATTGTTTGCTGTCGTCAGGGTCAGAATGGAAGAAAAGGTTGGTAAGGCCACGAACTACAAGCAAAAGCGTTGTATGGAGCTGCTTTCGTGAAAGGCTGGGATCCATCAAAGGTAGCAAGAGGCACCCGCAGATGAGAGCTTTAGCAGCAGCCTAGGATTATGATCCAACTGAGAATCATGAAAAATCGGCCAACAAAGCAATGTGATTTATGTGACTGTGTTCGAGCTGTGGCACTGGGGGAGCCCAGTCCCGCACGGCTGCTCGAATTAACGAGATCACATAATCAAAGAGGAGCTGAGTAGCCACGTTTAGGGACATATTGGTTAGAAAACTAGCCAGAGAGCAATATTTCTCGGACTAGGTCTGAGGTCCTTGCCTACGTGGGCTACAATAGGCTGGTTCTATTGGTATTGTAGGCCTTTACTTGCTTGCTAGCTTCCACAAACACCACCGACCCTCACCTCCCTTGAGCTTGCTAGCTAGGTGACAGATCTAGCCGGGGAGAGTCGGCGTAGAAATAGACATACAGTGTAAACAAAAAGACATTCACAAAATCTCTGTGCTCCTACCACCTCCCCGCAGCATTATACTGTAGTGGAGGTCTCAAATCCAGATAGGTGGCTAGCTTAAACAATTCCTTCTTCAATCGGGTTCAACTTGTTGTTGTGGGACATGGAGTTTATTGTTTAGACATGAATTGGGCGTGTCTCGAGTCTAAGCACATTATGCATGAGGTCTGGTGTCAAGCTACAGGTACCTAGGTAGTTGTCAGCCAGCTGCATTTAGGTGCCCTTATAGTGGGGTCTGGTGGGCACTGGCCGCCCGTGCAGCTCAATTGGCGCGGCGCGTCCGCCCACCTCGGCCGACCGCAATTGTTGGAAAGCGCGTCTCAAATTTATCCACGGCCCCATTGGACGCCGACGCCGACGTCTGCCTCAACCCAGCCACACCCATCGCTGAAGATCCCTGACCAGCTCGACCTGGGAAAAATCCATCATCCGCGGAAAGCTGTCCTGCAGCCGCGCGAGCAAGCTCCTCACCACGCCATATCTATCGGTACCAGTACTTGCTGACCTGCCTGCCTGTCGAGCTGGGCACCACTTGGCTCCGCCAGCAGCGCAAAGCCGCCTCCAAGGCTAGCAGCTCGACATACCTGCCTCTAGCTCATGGCTGTCGCTTTGCGTATTCAACCCAGCTGATTTCCTCTTGCGGCGCCCCTCGATGCGACCAGCTAGACCGGGCGAGCACTCCACCAGCTAGCCATGGCTGCTCCCTCGGACCGCACATATTCCCCCCCTCTCGAGGAGTGTCTGAAGGGTGAAAAGATCCTGCTGTGAGCCCAAGCCTGCCAGTTACAGTCTCCCCCATGCGCACGCCCTCTCGCTGACACGGCCCTGCCGAAGCTCCTGGAAGGCTGTATCTTCTTCTCTGGCCGACCCCGGCCGCCTCTCCTCGCCCGCCGTCTCGTCCTTCCTCGCCGACCAGTTCGTAGAAGGCCTCCTCAGAGACCCCGCCAAGGTCTTCGAGCCGCCCAGCGTCCAGTCCAAGGCCGAGTTCGAGACGAAAACGGCCGCTATCAACGTCACCCCGGCCCCCAATGAGGCCTTCGACCTCGCCCAGATCAAAAGCGACGCCCTCTGGCTGAGCACAGGCGTCGCCCTCAACGAACCCGCAGCGCTGCGCGTCGTTGTCGCCGAGTTCCAGGCCCGCAGCGCCAGCCACCTGAGCGGGCCTCTCTCGGCCCAAGATGTTGCAAACTTGCACGAGATTGTCGGCCAGCAAGCCTCCCAGGGCGCCGGCCTGCTGTCGACTCTCACCGCCGCGAGCCACGCCGATGCCGAAGCAATCTGGACCGACTTCCAACGCGAGGAGAGCCGGCGGCAGCGCATCCTCCAGACGTACCTGTCCGAGCGCCGGCATTTTACTGCCGCCGCTGAGTACAAGACTGCTCGCATGTTGGAGGGATCTACCACTGCCGAAAGGCTGCCGGAAGCTCAGCAGCGCGAGCTTCTAGAGAAAGCCTGTCCCGCTTGGCTGAGTTATATGTCAGAGTGCATAAAGCGGTTCATAGCTGGCCCTGAGGCAAACCTACAGGAGGCGCAATACCGCACAGACGCGCTGGCCGTAGACTGGATCCGGACCTGCCTGACCGAATCCGCGCATGCTGCCGCTATAATGCTCCAGATCCTAGCTGACTCGTCCAAACACACATTTGCGCCACCAGCGCTCGTCAGCCAGTGGTTCTCCCTTGTCGCTGAGTACGCGTTCCTCGACGCACTCTCGCCGGCAGACGAAGGTGTGGCGGAGCTTGCCATGCCTCTCAAGTGCCTTGTATGTGCCGTGTCAATGGCGCTGCTCAACATTCCCAGGTCGATGGCTTTTCTGGACCAGGATCTGGAGCTCGGAGAGGACGAGGAGGCTTATCTCCAGGAGGCCGACGTCCTTTTACAGATCCACGGCGCGATACAGGGCGCGGCGGATAACAGCCTAGTCTCGCCGACGCCCGTCGTCTTTATATGGACACTACTTCTGCATCGCATGTACTCGGCATACCAGGAGCGGGCCGAGAGGAGGGACCTGGCGCAAAACCAGCGTGCACAGGCTGGCTTCGAACTTGATGGCCATCCCCAACCTGGCCTCACCCGGCGCAACTCGGCCGGCAGTATCATCTCGTTGGAGGCTCGCAGCTACGACCACTTCCTGGTCACGGCCTCCATGTCACAGGACCTACAAGTTGTCGAGGGTTTGGCCCAGGCTGCCACCGCTGGTGGCTTGGTCTATGATGTCCTTGCAAGCTTTGCCTCGTGCGCTGGCAGCGGGCCCGAGGCAGCATTTGCGCGCGAGATTGGCGCCAAGGCACGATGCGTTTTCCTGGACCTCCTGAAGTTCACTTTCCACTTCGTGGGTTACAAGTCGGAGCCGCTGGCATGCCTGTTCGCGATTCTCTCCGAGGATAACAACGAGCCAGGCCCCGGCCCCGGCCCCGGGGTCGAATCCCCCGCCGACGTCGTCCTGCAGGACCGGGACCTGCAGGACTCGTACGTGCGCGAGGCTCTCAACCGATATCCCTACGAGTACACACCCTTTACAAACATGTGCAAGCTCCTGGCTGCCCGTGCAGGCGACGAGGAGTCGTCGGGCATGGTGACGGAGCATCTTCTTAAGACGCCGACGTTGACTTTTATTCTGCCCGAGGATTTCCAGGAATATCAGCTAGTTCAGGAGGAGGAGAATGCCAACGCGATCCAGATAATGGAGGACATTCCGCTTTTCGAGTCGGGGTCGTCCTTGTGGAGGCGACGACCCGACGACCACGAACCCTTCTGTCTTGCCGCTGGCTCGTACGGGCGCTTCATCACAGACAGCGGCAGGCTTGTGATGTTCGACTTCGAGCACTCTGCGCTGGCGCTGATGGGGAAGCGGCTCGAGGTGTATCTGTCTCAGCAAGCTCACAGGTCAATTCTCCAACCACTCGGCGCGGACGAGGTGGCCGAGACCGTCTCCCTCCTCACTGCTCTGGTCCGCCGCGAGACGAAGATGCAGGGCCCGCAAGCCGGTATATCCATCCTCCAAGAGACGAGCAAGGCTGTGTCCCGGACCAGGGACGTCATCGCCATCGTATGCGGCATTCTTGATGGCGCCATTCAGAACGACTCGGCCAGCAGCGAAGCCGCGTCCTCGATCACAGTCCTCTACGAGTGCGTGCGCTTCGTGCACACTGTCATGCCCCTGTGCCCTGGCCGCGTCTGGTCGTATATGGCTAGGTGCGAGCTGCTGAACACCGAGGCCCACGCCGGCAGGCTGTCCCGCATCACCGGCAACGCCGAGCTGAGCGCGGACCGCTTTCTCTTCCTCGACTCCACCATCCGCCTGCTGTCGGATCTGGTAGACAGCGCCATGGAGAGCTCGGTTCGCCGCAAGGTTGTCATCGCCAAACCAGGTGCTCTGCAGCATACGGGAAGCGACGGCAGTCTCGGCAGCCTCTGGGTCGGCATCTCAGACAAAATCCTGGCCCAGGTGGCGCTCTCTACCGCGCAGACGGCCATGGACATGTTTGAAAACTCGTCGGCCTGGAGATACACGTCGGGCCTCCACCACAGCACCATTGTTGGCCAGCTCGCCCAAGTGCTAAACAAGCTGGTGGTGTTCACTTACAGCATCGACGACTCGAACCAGCGCCTGACCGAGTGCCTTGCCCCGGCGGCGGGATACGTCGTTGACTGTTTCCTGTCGTCGTCTTCGGCCGGCCTGAAATTCCACCCCCTGCTGTTAACGCTGCTGGCGGCCCTGGAGATGCCCGAATCGTCCGGGCTCTACCCACGGGCGGCGGAGACCCTCTCGTCCCGGCTTGCAGCCGTCCTGGAGCTGGGGACGTCGCTCGTCAAGGCCGCCACTTCACTCAACAAACCGACAACAGTTCTAGAGCTGCAGCTCTTTAAGGCAAGCTCTCTCCTCGCACGGCTATGTGCCGTCAGCGAGCGCTTCCGAGCTCCGGCGCTCGGCCTTCTGGAGGCCGTTGTGACGAGCGCCGAGGGCGTGGTGGATAGCGAGCCTCCATCACTTCTCGGTTACCTGGGTCCCCAGATCTCCAAGTCGTTCCTCAAGCTGCTCTCGCGGCTGGACCGCCCGTTCGACCGTCCCGGCGAGACGACACGACTGTGGAAGCTGCTCTCGACCATAGTACGCAGCAGGCAGCGCTGGCTGGCGAGCTGCCTGCTGACGGGGAGCGTCCCGCGCGACGCCTTCAGTGCTGACAGCAAGACAGGTAAGACGTCGCGGGTACGCAAGGACTCGGTGCTCGCTGCGGCGCGAGACAGGCTGCAGGATATATCATCAATACCCAGCGAGGAGGCGCTTGCGGTGCTCGAGTTCTTCACAGCGGCACAAAACCATTGGCCCTGGGCCATCTTCGCCATGCTCAAGGACAGCGCTCACGTCGACCAGCTCCGCAAGTACGTGCGCGAGCTGAAGTCGTCGACGGCCATAGCCAAGACGAGCCCGGGCGAGGCGGCGAACCAGGCTAGGATAGCGGCATACATTGCCGAAACGTTTGCGATGCAACTGTACCACCTACGGCAGACGGGTCAGGGGAGCTCGTTTGCACAGCAGCTGTTGCAGGACCTGGACTACTTCCTGCGGGACGGCATCCAGGTTTCGGGGTACAACACGTCCCTCCACGTCAACTTTGCCAAAAACTTTGCAACCCGCTACAACAAGATCCCACCCAGCGCCTTCAAGCGCACGCCTTTTGCGCCGCGGGAGCTGGGCAAGCAGTACTACTACGCCCTCGACCTTGCCCAGCAGATGCTCGATTTTGACGCGGGCTGGGTTGGCCCGCGAGACAGCGGCTTCAGGAGTGAGATGGAGATGGTCAACCTCAACCTCTCGCTGGTCGATGGCCAGATAGTAAGTCATCTCGCTTAGTTTGTGCCTTCTCCCTCCTCCCCTCCTGCTTCATTCTGTCTGACCTTCTCTTCCTCGTTTCCCTCAACAGGCTCTCTTCCATGCTTGGGAGTTTCTTCTCCTGGAGCTCAGCGTGTGCCTCCTGCCCAAGAACAAGAACATGGCTGTTTTGATGACGCAGGTGGCAGGGCAGTGCTTGTCGGCGAGTCACAGCCCGAAGGGTCCGGAGCAGATTTTCATCAGTCTCAGCAAGGCTCAGGCAAATCTGGCCCTGACTCTGGTCCAGCGGCTAGCGGACGCGTCGGAGCTTAGCAAAGAGGCACCGCAGCTGCTTGGGACGCTATGGACGACGCTGAATGGGGTTGATGACCCCTTCGGAGCCAGTCAAGTCGAACACTACCGGACACTGCTGAAGACGCTCTACGTGATCCTTCGCGGCTGTCGCCGGGCGGAGGCGTCAGTGGCGGTGACGCAGAACGTGCTCGGGATCCTGGACCGGGTCGTGGGCCAAGGGTTTCGCACGCTCGTGGCGCTGATCCACGAGCCCGACACAACGGTGGCGTCGGACGACGTGGCGCTCATAACGGCTATCCTGCAGGCGTGCCTGGCTGTGCCCGGCGTGGACGAGTGTAGCACACAGGTGCTGAACCTGATGGCGTCGCACGACGTACTCCATGTCGCCATGTCGCTGTTCTCGTGGTCGGACCGGCTGGCGGACGGTGGTGACCCTGTCTATGGCGAGCTGAGTCTCCTCTTCCTGCTCGAGCTGTCGGCCGTGCCGGCCGTGGCGGAGCAGCTGGCGTTGGACGGGCTACTCGGCCACGTGACGTCGGCCAGGGTGGCCAACCTGATGAGGCGGCCCAACGTGTCGCCCTTTGCCAGCGCCGTGGGCGCGCAGCGCTGCTACAGCATCTGGGCCAAGGCGGTGCTCCCGCTCATGATCAACATCCTGGGCGCGCTCGGCGCCACCATCGCGCCCGAGGTGGCGTTTGTGCTGAACTGGTTCTCGGGCCTGCTCGAGTCGAGCGTGCGGCGGTTCGAGTCGCCCGGCGCCAGCCGGACGGCGAGTCGGGACGGCCCGCGCCACATCACGCTGCTCGCCGTGTCCGAAGTGCACTCGCTCGCCCTGCTGACGCGGGTCCTGGACGCGCTGCGGCTCAGCAACAACCGCGACATCCCCGAGGTGCCCTGGGACGCGGCGTCGCTCCTGGAGCACGTCGAGTTCCTGCTCACGCGCCCGAATCTCCTGCGCGAGCGCCTGCTGCCGCTGGGCAACCGGGAGATCGAGTGGCGGGCCACCAAGGCCGCGGGCGGCGACGGCGCCGAGAGCCGGCTCGAAGAGAAAGTGGTTTCGCTCTTGGACTCTGTCAAGACGATACTGAGCGACGATGTGGAGTAAAGTGACGACGACCGCAGACAGGGGGTTTTCTTTCTGCATCATTTGCCTCGATATGACATGAACAATGAACCCCATCGCGAGCCCCATGTTGGTTTAGTTTTGTCGTTCCCTTGATCGCCCCCCACCACCACTATAGCCTCCCCTTTTCTTTCTCGTTGACCCTTTTCATGGCGGGTTGGAGTTTTGCGACTTGGAGAAAAGCAAGGATGGGTGCAGATAGAAGATGGATGATGTTTTGGTATACCCAAGTGCAGATAGTCCGTCATCCGTCGGAAAGCTTTTTTTTAATACCCAGGAGCCATCCGATTTCCACCAAGGCGAGAGCCCAACATCACTGCCCGCCAGGTCCGTGGATCCATATTTATGCCTGCCTTGTGTCGGATTAATATGGGTTCAGTCATCTATTATCCCTTTTGTTTTTCATGTAAAGTACCAAAGTGGAAAAAATCCAATGGAAAAGAGACATGGAAACGTCAACATGAGAGAGTTGTTACAGAGTGGGAAATGCTCATGATCCTCTTTCCTCCTCTCCCTCTTCCTCCCACAGCCGTCATCGTCGCCGCAAGTGTTTTTTTTTCTTCTTGTATCGTACAGTCGGAGCGGGGGATGGTCGGGGCGCCGGGCGCCGCTCATCGTTGTTGCTGGTTCGCCATCTGGGCGGCGTTATGCTCCTGGAAGCGCTCGCTGAGGCGCTGGGCGGCCGCCATGTCCTTCTGGACGCAGCGGGCGACGCAGCCCGTCTCGCGCGACGAGAGCGACTTGGACGTGAAGTCCTCGATGCACGACATGAAGCAGTGGTCGACGAGGTTGCTGAAGAGCTGTATTGGCGGGGGCGGGCGGCGGGCGGCGTCAGCGTCCCGTTGTTCCCTGCTTTCTTTTCCTCTTTTTTCTTTCTTCCTTCTTCCCCTCTCTTCGTCTTGTATAGGAGTCAAGGTGGGACGTCTTTGCTAAAACTTACGCCGACAAACTCCTTGACCTGCCTCTTCTGCATCCGAGTCTCCAGCTCCTTCATCTCTGTTGCGGTAAGGCTGTGCGCGGGCAGGGGCGGGGAGGTGGGAACGGTTAGCATGCGAACTGCATCCTCAAGGCGATCGACGCTCCGTGGTTTCGTGCAAGCTTACTTATCCATCTCTGCTCCCCGGCTTGGCGTTGGTGACGGAGGGGAAGATCGCGAAGGCTTCGGAAGGTGGGGACTGGCTGTCAAATCGCCTTGGTTTCCCGTGCCGAGGATGGAAGGAGGGAGCTTGTTCACGACGGCAAAGACGGCTTTGAGAAGAAAAATACCGGGCCTTAGGAGCAAACATCTGAAGTGACGTCCACCTTGCCCGCAAAGAGACATCAATTCCGTGTTATCGTCGTTATCTCCACGTGATGACCCCAAGCTATTCCCATCCCATATCTCCACATTCAAAACAAGGCGGGAGCCCCTGGTTGGGTTTAGCGCATACGCCAGGCTCCTTTATCAGAAAGCATGGAAATGGACCCCCAACCGCAGCCTTTCGAGTCGGAAAAAAAAAGGTTGGGTGGGTTGCTATCAAAATCCCTATTCATCCGACAAAACACCGCTAGCGCGCGTACTGCGCAATGCCATTTCGGGAAACAGGTGGTAGGTAGATGGAGCACGAGGATGAGCACATGGGGTCTCGGAGAGCAAGCATAGGATGCAGAGCGGCGGGAACGGGAGAAGGGCAAGATCAGGGGCGAGCCACCGGAAACCAGAACAGGAACAGGGCAGCCTATACAATCTACGCCGATCAAAAAGGATGGCCCGGGTAGTGCATGTATAGGCAGCGGGACAGATGGGGACTGGTCAGGACATGAATGCGTGGTAGATGTGCCGTAGCCCAAGGAGACAAGATGAATGCAACCAAGGTCAACAGCCGACTGGAAACCTAGGTCGATGCGTGTGCCCTGCGGCAGCGGCAGGGCATCGCAGGGCTCACAGCCATGTCGAAGGCCGTCATTTCACCCCGCCCCAGCGGCCTCGGGCGGGCGACGACGTGCTCAAAGCCAGCCGCCTCCCAATGTTTCCAAAGCAGACGCAGCTGCAAAAGAGGACGCTGAGCATCCAGATGCCCGTCTCGACGGCCGCGTGGCTGCCCAGCGGCTCCGCCCACGACGGGCCCGAGCCGTCGTCATGGGCCAGCCCCGAGCTGTACCCCGTCGGCGTCGGCATCATGCCGGGGTCCACGCCGGCGATGACGGCCGTCCCGACCACGCCCACGGCGCTCGCGAGGGTGAAGCCCGACTTGGACCGGTCAATCAGGTACCAGAGGAACGGGTTTACCAGGGCAAGGGTCAGCGACACCTGCATGGTTGACGCCCAAGGGAGCTTGCGCTGGAGATTTGCGTGCGGCGAGGCCCCTGGTTAGCAAAAAGCGGTACGGCACAGGATAACGAGGGGCCCCAAGGAGATGGAACACCCACAATGGCAAATACGATACCCGCAAACGCCCCAACCCCGCGGATCACTAGCGCCCAGTCGGTGTCGGGCCTGGTACTGTCGGATTCAGCGCCTTCTGGCGCGTGGCCCGGGGCTGGCTGTCTGTCGGAACCAAAGGTCCGGTCCCAAAAGTGGTCGAACCACGGAAGCAGCGAGCCGAGCAGGACCCCGGAGAAGCCCCAGAAGGCCACGTAGCGCGAGTCCTGCGAGCCCTTGGCGGGGAAGAAGGAGCCGCCGGACTGCCGGCCCTCATGGTGCATGCCCGAGCCGTGCTCGTCCTGCAACCTGCACACGAGCATGCCGTAGCCCACACCGAGGGCGAAGAGGAGCACCACCTTTGCGGCAAGCGACAGCACTAGGCCCGAGCGCGAGGTAGGTACCGCCGGGTCGGCGGCCGGGGCCCGGGGCTCGGGCGGTAGCGCCGGCGACAAGGGCATGGCGTATGTGGCAGCGGCGGCGGGGCCGCGGGTGTGGGACTTGGGTGGCACGCCGAGGCGCTCCCGGAGCCGGTCGAGGGCCTCGTTGCGGTCGCGCTCCTCGGGGTCGTGCTCGCGCGGCGACTCGGCGCCCGCGCCCCAGGGGGTGCCGGATTCATCGCGGTCGTTGTATGTATACGAAGAGCCGAAGCCCCTGCCAGGGCCAGGACCCGTCGTGGTTGGGCTGTAGATGCCAAACAGGGTGGATGAGGTCAGGTTCATGATGGACTGGGCGCGCGATATCGAGGCGCTGCCGGGTTCTGAAGGGACGTTTGACGGGCCGCCGCTGCGCAGGAACTGGGGACGGGCGTAGTCGCGAGCGTGGAGTGGCGAGAGCGAGCCATCGTCGGCGGGCCGCCGTGGTCCCGGTGACGGCGATGAATCTTCGTCGGGCGGCGTCGCGCTGGTGAAGTTGAGATTGAAGGGCCGTCGGGGGATGGGTCGGACTATCACCGGCGGCGTAGAGTCGGCTGGCATCGGGGGGGAGCTGGGTAGAGCCCTAAAAGGCGATGGGGAGGAGAGGGTACGGCTTGATCTGGCTGGATCCGTTGGTTTAGTTGTTGTTGACTTCGTCTTTCCTTTTTTTCCTCTTCTTTTTTGGCTGCAGGATCGTGAGAGTGACAACTGCCCCAGGAGTAAGAAAGGAGCAATGGTGGGAGGCAAGGACTGCGGGCGTCAGGTGGTCACCCTCGACTGATTTGAATGGTGTAGTGCAAAGCCTGCTTGACCCCGACAGTGACTCGGAAAAGGCCCAGCCAAAGGGTTGGAGAAGTGGGTTCGTCGCGCACCCGTCGTCCCTAGGTTTTTTGTTGTCCTTTTTTCCCTCCTTTTTCTTTTTTAGTCCCTTGTCTTGTCCCTCTATCTATCTCTCACGCACAAACTATAGACAATAAGTACCTACTTCTCTCCCTTTTTCAATATCTATCCTTTTGTACAAGAACCCGAATTTTCTTGTCTGCTGCCTCGTTTCAAATAGTACCTCAGCTTGGTATTGTCAATTCCAGGCCATCCTCAGGGACTGCCGGGCCCGCTAGTTCTAGGGCAGGCTCGGCACTGACCCACCCCCAGTTGGGCCCGGCTGTTTAGCGTGCTGTCCTCGAGGGCTGATTGGCACGTCTGCAGTGTGGCCGGATGAATGCTTTTGTCTTTTTTTTTTCGCTTTTTTTTTTGTTTATTTCCCTTCATGCCTTACCAATTGAACAAGTCACCGAAACTTAGCGCTAGCGTTCACAAGCCACTTCAACAGCTAGCTCCAGCCCAACGAGGGGACTTGCAGAAGAAGGTTTGCCGGAATAAATAAGGCAAGAAAATACCACCCCAAAGGCACTTCCGTGTCGGAGGGGCAAGCCCGTCGCACCCCATTGGATGGGGTGTTGTGCGGGGTGCAGTCACTAGCTGCATGGATGATGGGCTGGTCTAGTTCTTTTTGCACCCAGACAACGCTAGTCCGGGTGCGGATATGCAGATGCGGCATCAAGGGTGCAGCAGCCGGGGGTAGCTCATTTTCACATGCTTCCTTGGCGGCAAGAAAAAAAAGGCAGCAAGAAAAAATCTGTGCTAATTTGTTGGGATTCCGTGCTATCTGCTTTACTGGCACGCTGCCCAAAGAAAATCCTGCGCCCATATGGACCGCACAGTCAGGCCATAAACATTAGATACGAGGGACGGGAAAGGATAACATGGCACAGGAAATTGGGGACGGGGGCTTCCAATTCCTGTTGCTGCCGTGGCTGGCCATGCTGGCTACCTGTATCTATGGACTTGCTCGAGTGCCAATCATACATGGCTCTCAACCCAAATTTCAGGCCACAAAAGCTTCGACTACAACTGACGAGCATGCATGACGCAGAGACGATACATGTGTTCCTCAGGCAGAGGGTTTTTGGTTCAGATCCTGACCCAGGCAGCTAAATCATTATGCCTATTCCGGGGCACATTACTGTTTCTATCGAGTAACTCTTAACGGCCCATATACGCGATGGCAAGATAGATGTAGGGCGTGAAATATCACCACATGGCTCCATAGTCTTCATCAACCATCTGTTGCCATTGGTTGTCTATTCGTCTTTGTCCTCGTCTTCGTCCGTCGCCTCCTCTTCCTCCCGGTCGCTTTCGTCATCAGCTCCCTCCGGTCTGGGTATCATCTCGAATGCCGTGATGCACGTGATGCGGTTCTGTGTCTCGTAGCTCCCCACCAGCTTTCCCACCTGCTTTCCGCCCCCGGATCCGCGAGCCGAGGCCAGCTCGCCCCCCGTTAACCTCCATATCCCCAACTTGCCGTCGCTGCTGCCCGAAACAGCAATACAGGGCCTGGTATTCGCCCCAGAGGCTGCAGCTCCCGGCAGTATCACAAAATCCTTGATCCTGCTGGTCACGCCGCGCTCACGTCCTCCAAGTACTCCGACCAGCATGGCTGTCGGCACCCGCTGCTCCTCCTTCTTTCCGGCACCCTCTCTGGATTTGGGCTGTTGTAGATCCTCGTCTCTAGTCGAGTACAGGCAGATGCGGCCATCCTCGGTCGACACGGCCAGATAACTTGCGTCGTCTTCGCCCACCTGCACGTAGCGAATTCGGTGCACCTTGCTCTTGGTGTTGCTGACGACCCTACACCGGGGCGTGCCGCCCATGCCGTAGACCAGGACCTCCCGGTCGAATGCGACGGCGAATTCGTCCTCGCCATCGGCCGACCCCCATACCACGCTCCTCCCCTCGCCCATCGAGAGCTTGCCCTCGCCCATCTGATGCAAAAGGTCCTTGTCGAAGTTGAGCACGCCCGCCTTCTTGCCGGTAACCAGGTTCCATAGACGCATGCACCGCTCGCCCTTGGTGACGCTGATCATCAGCTTCATACTGGAGTGGACGGCAAAGTCGTTGACGCCCGAAGGCACCCCACCGAGGGGCGCCGTGTCGCCGCTGGGCCGCCCCCACACTTTTGGGATAGGAGCTTTTATGGCCGATAGGAGGGACCAGTCTCGGGTCCTGGTGACGGCAATGGTCGAGTCTTCAGATGCCGACATGAGCTTGGAGCGCGTCGGGAAGCTCAGTTTCGTGATGGTAGACGAGTGGTGTAGCAGCGTGCCCAGCTCCCGGTTCTTTGAGTTCTCCAGCACCGGCCGCGGGGCGAGCGACGAGATCTGCTGCTGCTGGGCATCGCGCCGCGGGGGATGCGCCGATATCGTATAGACGTTGATCCTCTCGTCCGTCCCGCCGGTTGCCAGCATCACGCTCTGGCTTTGCCCAGGCGCCGGCGCCGACGGCGGCGAGACGGCCAGGCACTTTATGGCCGACGTGTGCGCATCGAAGAGAAACGTATCTGCGAATTCGACCGAAGGCGCATCATCTGTGGTTGATATTCTTGCAGTGAGCCCGTGGAGTACTCGGTCGTAGGAACCAGCGACGATCTGAATCACCAACTGGGCGGCGGCGGAGGCTGGAGATGGAGATGGAACCGCAACTGGAGCTTTGGCGCGTTTTGTTGCCTGTTTTGAAGACTCGTCGTTTGTAGGCGGCGCCCCATCTCGCTTCCGCTTGGCCATTGCTGTTGTTGAATGCCTCTCGCAGTCCAATGAAATTATAGTTTCGCTAGATAGAGAGACTTGCTGGACCAAGAGCCAAGTTGCGACGTTCATCGACAGATGATGCCATCGATGGTTGGGAAGCTAGGAAAAAAAAAAAACTAATGCTTCAATTGGTATCGATAAGGCACCCTACTCCCTGGTAATGAGTGGGGCGATATGGGGTAAGGTGGTGGGGGGATGCTGTGTCGGGTCGTTCGAGCCTGTTCCTAGTTCGTTCACAACGAAAAGATGGCGTCGCATTGCGTCAATCATTTTACTCTACAGGGCTTACACCCGCGAATACGATGAAGGGGTTACCACGAGCAGATACAAGCGATCAACATATTCACATGAATCTTGGGAACTTGGACGTCGTAAAAAAGAACTACCGTACTTGCGCATTTCTAGCAAACGGCAACTGACGACCCACACACCTTTTCCTAGGTATCCATTTCCAGTATCCATTGCAAGAAAACACATCAGACTCGAGCCTAGGATATTGAAAATTCATGGACTTTTGTCATTATTATTAATCCGAGGATTCGACCCAGGCGCAAAGGAAAAGACAATTGCAGGTATTGTGCTGTGAAATGAGGTGCTCTGTGTTGCCAACATTGCCAGAGACAAAAGCAGCAGGAAGAGATAGTAGGGGTAGTCGAGGTTCTCACTGAAGCGAGACATAGGAAACCAATCAGACAAGTGGGAAACTGGAATCAAACAAACCGAAAAAGCCACGAACGAGACTCGAGTAGAATCGAGACAGATCCGACGCAGATAAAATGCTTCCTACATGGCCTGGATCCCGGGCTGTGCCAGCGGCTGCTGACCTCCAAGGCTGTTCTGGGATGTAGCACCGCTAGCAACGGAGTGCGGCTTGCGGACAACCTGGGGTGGCGGCGGCAGGTCTTTGCTCTTGGAAGCTTTCCCGATGGAGAACACGGGGCTCTCCCATCGGTCTCCCTTAAGCGCGAGCTCGCGGTACTCGGTGGCCTTGGAGCTGATGCCGCCCGGGAGCTTGACATCGGGGAACATGCTGTCGTTTTGAGTCACGGCGTAGTTGACCTTCTTGTCGGCCGCCACTTTCTCCGCCTTCTTCTTCCCTTCGAGGACCTCGCGCTGGACAGCCGAAGCGTACCGACTGTAGATGTTGGGGACGTTCTCCGGATCAGACTTGGCCTGCTCTAACCCGCGATCGGCCTCCTGCTTAAGCTTGAAAAGGAGCTGATCGAGCTGGTTGAAATTGTCCCGAATCGCCTTGCCCAGGGCCTTCTGGAGCGCCGGCCGCATCACCTTGAGCAGCAGTGGCTGCGCGATGCTGAACAGAAGCTTGTGCTTCGACTCGTGGAGCTTGATCTTGAGGTTCTTAACGTCCACGTCGACCTTATCGACCCTGAAGAACTTCTGAACATCTTTCTCATCGGGCGTCGATATCTTGAGCTTGAAGGAGAAACCGTCGCCACCCATGAAGATGTCGGCACGGCCTGTGTCCGTGAGAGACGGGAAGCCCTGCTTGCGCTTGACGTAGTAGCTGACATCACGGAGGTCCATCTGGATGCCCGAAACATGGACCTCGGCGGAGTGCTTGTTCTTTGAGCTGATCTTCTTGCGCCCCCAGCGCATGTAGTTCTCGCTGTGCACATCGAGCAGGTTGGGGGTGAAGTTGTCGCTCTCCAGGACGAGGTTTTCGATCACCGCATCCACCTGATGATCCGAGAACTCTATGCGAGGGACCGGAACATAGGCGATATTCTCGAAAATAGCGGGAATGATGATGTCGGTCAGATCCTTCACTAGATGCTTCTTGAACTTGGGCTTGCCGTTCTCGTCGTTGCCCAGGTCGTTGAACAGCTTCTTGACAGCCTCACCGAAGGACTTGTTCTGGGGGTCTTGGTCAAATTGGTCGATCAGGAACTTGATCTCGTCGACGATTCGGTCTGTGTGGGTCTTGTATTTCTCCCGCAGGAGATAGTTGCCGTGGTCGTAGAGATGGTTCCACTCCTCAGTCGATGAATCATCCAAGATGTAGCCCTGCTCCTTCAGGCACCTCCGCACATAGGCATTGGTGTCTCTGAACCAGTCGCGTAGCTCAGGGTCACGATCAGCATCGCGGTATATCTGGCCGATGGCGGCCCAAAGGTCGTCGGTGGACGTTCCATTGGCAAATCGCTCAATCAGGACCTTCAGGTCGGCCTCGGCTTGACCAAGGCTGGATGACCTGGCCTCCTTAGCAGTGCCGGAGCCCTCTTGACCAAGCACCCTGGCGTGACGGCCATATTGCTCAGCAAGGTCGAGAAGTGTCTGTATGGCGTGCTGGTAGTCGGGATGCTGCTGGCACTCGATGATCATTTTCTAAGGCATGTTGTCAGTATATTTATGCCAAGGCCGACACGGAACGTCCGAAAAACCTGCCGATGCGCGGGCATCCGTATCACGCTTACCTTCAAGCGCCAGATGGCCTGCTCACGCCTGTCCTGGGGCATCTTCTGCTCCAAGTAGCGCTTGGTACGTTCCCGATACTCTTGGGTCTTGGCCCGAGCCGCTTCTTTGCCTTCGGCAGTCAGCTCCTCTGCTCGGGCCTGGTCAACTGGGACTGAGGGAGAAGCGCCAGCGGCTGATGCCAGGGCATCCGTAGGTTCCTAGACACCCATGTCAGCTGGTGTCTGAGGGAGGTTGAGAGAACTAGAGGGCCTGGTTGCCTGGACCGCAGCGAACATACCTGTCCGGTCTGTAGGCTATTGGCCAGAGTCGCGCCCGCGTCACTGTTGGAGGTCTTGTTGTTGGCCGGGCCCTTGCTGTATGCACCCTGAACCTGCTTCTTCAGATTGCCCTTGGAAAAATCCGGAGCATCGTGCCAGGTGTTGTCATCAGCCGGGCGATCGATCTGGGCAAGATCGGCTTCTGAGGGTCGGACGCTGGCAGCAGCCTTGGTGGCCGCATCGCCGGCCATGTCCCTAAAGATGATGGTCGCATCCTTGACTAAAAAGAGTGGGGGCCGCGTTTGTTTAGAAGACTGAAAAAGTGGACGATATGGGGGAGGAAACCACAGCTGTGATGTGGGACGACTCACGTAGTTTGCGGAACTGGCCATTGGTGATGATCAACCTGCCTAGTGTCCGGAGACCTTCGGCGGCACGGTCTCCATGGGCTTTGGCGGTCTCCTTATCCACGGGAGCGCCAGGAGCCTGCAGAGACTTGGGGTCGAAGTGCGACGTCTGCCAGCCAAAATCCTGCAGGAGGTTTCCCGCGTTCTTGGACAGGATCAGGTGCTGAGCCTTGCGCACGACGTCCTGGAAGTCGGCCACAAGAGCTCGGCCCTCTGGTGAGAGCTTCTCAGAAGGGCTCGCCAGGGCCTTGGAGGTCAGGAAGCTGTTGAGAGCAACATCTACCTGGTCGTTCTGTTCATAGGCAAGGGAATGCGTGGTTAGAATCTCGGCTGCGAACTATGGCAGCTCCGGCGAAGTCGTCACGCGAACAAGGGGGTGAGGTTGTGCACATACTGAAGGGTATTTTCCGTGCTGAAAGGCGGAGATGATACCATAAACCTGGAGCTTACGGGCCACGTCGGCGTCCTTCTGCTTGACGTCGACGGGCTTGTTGACAGATGTGGCGGTCGCCATGCTGCCGGGCGCTGGCGGTTGGCGTTCAGCGGGAGGAAGAGTGTGAAGTAACACGCGCCCACGGAGCTGGTTCTCTTTTCCTTTTGTTTTCTTTTGCGGAAGGGCGGGAGGCTAAGACGCCCTGGAAAGATGTCAGGAAATATTACTGGGAATTAAGTTTACCAATGTAGATGAAGACGGGAGAGTTGTGGTGACTGTGCGGGAGTGGATGGATCGAGGCCGGAAGGTTAAATGGGACGGGGGCTAGGGTTTTCAGTCTGGGCTGGCAGAGGTCGCGCCAGGTGCGAAGGACAAGTGTAGGACGTCATCCGTCGAACGAGGAGTGTCTGCACCTGCGGCCCGAAACAACAACAAAGGGGGCGAGCGGCCTGTCGCAGCCAAAAGGGCGATGGCGCTACAGCTTGCAGGGGGTTGCTATCAGGAGCTGCAAGTTGAGTCTTGCGCCACTTACTGGATTCCTGTCGGCTGGCGTAGATGGCGACCCAGTCAAAATGTCGCAACCAGAGCTGGATCAGTGCGCGTCAGCTAGCCTGTTCAGTGCCCGCTGACTGCGTTGCATTGGCTGGGCTTCGACTATGTGGACGCCTCCGTTATCGCTTTCCAAGGAAGTCGTACCTAATTGACGTGAAGCCGAGTTACCCGGGCTCAATGCCTTGCCGTGTTCTACGCTTGTCTGTTTGCGTGAATGATGTCCTGGTTGTTGTGTCGTGTTGCCAATGGAAATGAAATCGTCACACCCGCGGCTCAATGACGTCAAGAGCTTGTTTGAAAACACGTGCAACCAGGCACGCGTGGCACGCCAAGGGCATAACTGGAGCTACAGGTCCCACCCCAGTGGAATGTCCCTGCCCCCACTCAATGGTCTGGGCTTTTGCTCCCTCCTGCTAGCTCTCGACGTTGATTCTAGCTACCTACCGTGCAATTGATGATGTGGGAGCTGTTGTTGTACGTCATATTGACGGCCGCTAGGTTGTCTGGGTAAGCAAATGTGTTATTTCTTTGACTAGTCGGCTTTTGCGCCATGGCATGGCTTGTGCAGGAGACTCGGGTTGGGTACAGCAGCCGTGGGCCCCCGACTTTCATTACAAACAGCGTGGCAGCCCGCCCAGGCATTGAACCATTTGCTTGATGATCTACCGCTAGCTGACTGAGCACACTGAGGTTAAAGATGTGCTTTGTTGCAGCAGCTCTCAACCTAGGTGAGAGCTATGGCCACCCACAGTTCCTGCCTGCCGGAGTTCCACTTTATCCATCCGCTGATGACGGCAGCCTGGAGGATTGGGTGAACGCGTCTGACGCGCTCATTCACTGGCCTTGAGGTTGCGTTGGAGCCCAGAGACGACTGTTGTTTCTAGGTAGGTATCTAGCTGCCACTGTCTATAATCTCGATGAGTTTGAATCGTCGACCGACCCAGCCAGTGGCAACCGGCCGCTTTTCGTAACACCAGTGTTTCAAGGTAGCCTGGCTGTTGGTGACTAGCAAGCTCTCGAGGAGTGAGGCTCGAGATGTCTCGTTTTAAGCGACAAGCATCGGCCGGTCCCTCGGTCACCCCCTTGCTGGAGGCGCAGGAAGAGGACCGGATGCAGTATGGCTCTGGATCGGCAGGTGTCGAGGACGATCTGCGTGACAAGTAAACCCTCCACCATCCGGCGGCCGCGGCGAGGACCATAGCTAACACGCGCCGAGTAGGTTTGCGAACCGCCCGAAAAACCACTCTCGCACGCTAGTCTTTTCAGATCTCTTCACCAATCTGTTCAACCCTCTAAATGAAAACAAGAAATCGCGGGGCCCCAGCGGCCCCCCCAGGCGCAAGACGGGCTCCTCAAAGCCGTCGCCCCACGAGCAGCGTCGGCAAATCATCGAGCGCTTCATCAAGCGTTGGCGTAACGAGGTTGGCAACGACTTCTACCCGGCGCTACGCCTAATCCTTCCAGATAAGGACCGCGACCGCGGCGTCTACGGGCTTAGGGAAAGCGCGATTGGCAAACTCCTCGTCAAATTGATGAAGATATCCAGTGATTCCGAGGACGGCCATAGCCTGCTGAGGTGGAAGCTCCCTGGCCAAACGTTTGCCAGCCGCATGGCCGGCGACTTTGCTGGCCGATGCTTCGAAATCCTGTCCAAAAGGCAGATGCGCACTGCCCCCGGAGACATGCGCATCGCCGAGGTCAACGCTCTACTCGACCGTCTATCTGCTGCTTCGGGCGAGGTCGAGCAGCTGCCCATCTTCCAGGTCTTCTACGAGCGCATGAACGCTGAGGAGATGATGTGGCTGGTCCGCATCGTGTTGCGGCAGATGAAGGTTGGCGCCTCGGAGCGCACTTTTCTTGGCATGTGGCACCCCGACGGCGAGGCTCTGTTCAGCGTTAGCTCAAGCCTGCGCCGTGTGTGCTGGGAGCTATGTAATCCTGCCGTACGCCTCGAGCAAGAGGACACGGGCGTCACTCCTATGCAGTGCTTCCAGCCGCAGCTCGCCCAGTTCCAGATGCCCGAATCCTTTGAGCGCATGATCACGCACATGCGGCCCACGGATGACGACCTGGAGTTTTGGATCGAGGAAAAGCTCGACGGCGAGCGCATGCAGATGCACATGGTCGAGGATGACTCGGTGCCTGGCGGCAAGCGCTTCCGCTTCTGGTCGCGCAAGGGGAAAGACTACACGTATCTTTACGGCAGCAGCCTCGAGGATGGCAAATCGGCTCTTACCCAGCACCTCGGAGGCGCTTTTGAACCGCGGGTTAGAAACCTCATCTTGGATGGAGAGATGGTCACCTGGGACCCCAAACTCGACAAGATGGTGGCCTTTGGTACCCTCAAGACTGCCGCGCTGATGGGCCAGCAGATGCCCCTGGACGAAAGCAGTGAAAGGCCCTTGTTCCGCGTCTTCGACATTCTGTACCTCAACGACCAGCCAATCACCCAGTACACGCTGCGCGATCGCCGCGGGGCCCTAGACAGCGCGGTCCGTGGCGTCCACAGAAGGCTCGAGATACACCCCTACGACAAGGCGACGTCGCACGACGCCATCGAGCCCCTTCTGCGCCAAGTTATCGCCGACGCATCCGAGGGTCTGGTGCTCAAGAACCCTCGGTCTATGTACCGGCTCAACAGTCGCAACGACGACTGGCTCAAGGTTAAGCCCGAATATATGGATGAGTACGGCGAGTCTCTCGACTGCCTCGTAGTTGGCGGCTACTTCGGATCAGGGCGCCGAGGCGGCACCGTCTCCAGCTTCCTCTGCGGGCTGAGGGTGGGGGAGAATCACGTCAAGGCCGGTATCGACCCGGAGAAGTGCATCAGCTTCTGCAAGGTTGGCGGCGGGTTTAAGGCTGAGGACTATGCTCACATCCGACACCTGACTGAGGGCAAGTGGATGGGATGGGACGCCAGCAACCCGCCTAGCAAGTACATCGAGCTTGGCGGCGGCGACAAGTTTCAGTACGAAAGGCCCGACGTCTGGATCCGGCCCAAGGACTCGGTCGTAATCTCGGTCAAGGCTGCCAGTGTCGCATCGTCAGACCAGTTTGGCATGAAGATGACACTGCGCTTTCCAAGGTTTCGTGGCCTGAGGTCCGACAGAAGCTGGAACTCGGCACTGGATGTGGATGGGTTCTTGAGACTTCGGGAGGAGATTGAGCAGAAAGCCAAGGAGAAGACGGAAATGAAGATCGAGGACCGCAGGCGCCCGGCCCGGAAGAGGGCGCGACGAGAGCTCGTCATTGCCGGCCAAGATACCTCGGCCGCGATGCCGGCCGGCGCCAACCAGCTGGGTGGTTTTGCCAACGCAGCGGCCAAGAAAGGGAGGCTGTTCAAGGGGCTCACCTTTTGCGTGCTCTCAGAGTCGCTCCGTCCGGTGCGCCAGACCAAGGCGCAGCTCGAGATGCTGATTAAGAGCCACGGGGGCAGCATCTCGCAGAAGGCGGATCCCAAATCCAAGACGATGCGCCTAATTGCAGACAAAAATGTGGTCAAGGTAGCAAGCCTGATCAAGCAGGACGGTGATGTGAACGTCATCCGTCCAGGATGGATCATGGACTGCGTTAAACAAGGGGGTGGTGGATTTGTGCTCCCGCTCGAGGAACGGCACCTTTTGCACGCCCCCGAGTCCACGCGGCGGCTCGCCGAAGAGGCTATTGACGCGTTTGGCGACAGTTACATGCGGGATCTGGAGGCCGAAGAGATTGATGGGTTGCTGCAAGGCATGGGCCAGCAGGACGACGACGAAGGCGCCGATAACGACGATATGCAACGCATACTGGAGCTACTTGGCGAGACGGGCGAGCCGGCCCGCGGCCTGATGTTCCAGCGGTGCTTGGTCCACTGCGCCAGGTCTGCTGGCACGCCCGCCTTCGCACTAGAGCAGTTACAGAACTACGTGCTGTTCGGGGGCGGAGCCATAGCGGACAGCGCCGACAGGACCGGCATCACCCACATAGTTGTGGTGACCAACTCTGCGGCTGCCGACCCGCTTGCTGGCAGGGAGCTGGCGGCCGAGATGCGTTATACAACGAGCTCGATGCGGCGGCGGCCGCGGATTGTATCACAGGAGTGGGTCAAGGAGAGCTGGAAGGAAGCAACACGGCTGGACGAGGAGATGTTTGCGCCTCAGTGATTTGAACTCTAAGGGGACCATTCAACAGGCCAGGAACCAGACGACTGAACAGATAAGCCACAATGCATTGAGAGCCCCCATCTACAGGCGGTCCTCACCACTACAAAGGTAGATAGGGACCTAGACCGGTAGGCAGGTAGCTAAGCTGGGCCCGGTGCTGGAGAATCGAGGGTGGCTATGTTCACTTGCCGATGGTGAGGAACAGACGGTCGCCAACATCGCCCAGACCAGGGCGGAGCATGCCATCTTTGGTAAGCTCTTGGTCGACGGCGGCAACCCATATCTCGACGCCCTCGGGCCACTCCTCGGCAGCGCGCTTGATACCATCTATGGCGGCAATGACACTGAGGACAACGATGCGGTGGGCCCCCCACTCGCGCAGAGTCTGTATTGCGGCGGCGCAGGTGCCGCCCGTGGCGATGACGGGATCGAGGATGAAGGCGAGGCTGGGGGCGACGCTCGCGGCCGCGCCCCCCGCTCCGGGAAGGTGGTTGGGCAGGTTGTTGTAGTACTCGACGGGCTCGAGCGTGGTCGGCTCGCGGTAGAGGCCGAGATGGTGGACCGGGACCGGCTCGGGTAGCAGGGTCTGGACGGCTGCACAGGGGGCGAGGGGAGTCGGGGTCCCAGAGTGTCAGCAGAAGTCCCTTTGGCGGGCCGTGCTAGGTAGCGGGACACGTAGAGAAACCAACCCTCAGTCATGGCGAGACCGGACCTCAGGATGGGGACCAGACACAAGGTCTCGGGAGATATGCGGCTCGCGGTGTACTCGAAGCCGATGGAAGTTTCGTCCTGTTCCCTCCGGGGCCAGGATCGGTCAGCAGTCAGGCCAGGCGCGGGCAACTCGGAAGAAGCCCACCTCCCTCTATTCAGTCGCGTACCTTGTGCGCGGGGACTGCGGAGACGCTGGAGGCCAGGGCCTCGCAGGCGACGATCAGTGATATCTCATGGACCAGGTTCTTGACCTCCTTTGCGGGCGTCGACTTGGACCGCAGCTGGCTGAGCTTGGCGACGAGGCATGGGTGGTTGGAGACGTGAACGTTGGCCGGGAGGCTCATTGTGCCGACTATCCTGTCGGGGCTGATGGAAGAAGGTTGGAGGCGGACAAACAAGCGACGAGGGGAGGCAGCAAGGGATGGATGGCCTTGGGCGTTACGAGACCAAGCCTAGTAGAGAAGGGCTAGTTGGCATGGAAGAAGCACTTGCAAGTCTATCTTGAAGAGTCGGTGGAGAGATATGATCCAACACGAGAAACACAGGGGACGGCGGGAGGAGGCAGACAAAGCGGGAGGGGAGTTGACCGAAAGGCGGCGGCGGCGCCGCCTCAATTTGTTTGCTTTAAGCGGGCCGACACAGCTCAGAACGCCTAGGTACATTTGGGGTGGTACTTTCTGGCGGTACCAGCGCCGCCTCTAATGGCACCTGCCTGCAGGTAGCCCTCATGTGGCTAGCACCAGCGAGGTCAATGGGCGCCAGGCTAGCACTGAGTTGATAGACACCAGACGGTATGGAAAGGGGCACAGAGCTCTGGGAATGGGGTGGAGCATTATTACGTAGGTAGGTGCGGGAAAAAAGAGGTATCTCCGGAGACAGGACAGGCAATGCAACTCGAGCAAGGCGGGGTTCAGAAAGGTCCCCACTGACCCTCCCGCCTGTACACCGCGTGGGCTAGGTATCCCCAGCGCCCTTATCAGTCAGTGTGGCGCTGCCCAACAGGCCCCATGACTAGCAAACCTAGCGACCTAAACGGAATGCCGAGCAAGCCGCTGGGCTGTCTCGGTGTTTGTTTACTTGACGGACAATCTATGGGCGTTGGGTCGAGAGCCTAAGCCGACCCGACCACCAAGGCCCAGCCCTGCAGGCCGCCAGGCTTGGCACCCCCTTGCGGCCACCTGCATACCACCCACCAACGCATCTACATACCGATATGCGCAAACGCGCCGCACTGGCAGTGGCCGCCGAGGCCTACACGCTCTCGTACCTGGTCCTCTTCGCCCTGCTGGGCACCCTGGCCCGCCTGACCCTGCAGGCCCTCGCCAGCTTCCCCGGCGCCCCCGTCGTGTTCGCCTCGGTGTGGCCCAACTTTGCCGGCAGTTTCGTCTTTGGCCTCGTGGCTGACGACCGCGTCCTGCCCCGGCCCGTTCTCTCTGCTGCTGCTGCTGCTGCTGCCGCTGCTGCCGCTGAGGCTTCCGCGTCTCCATCCGGTGAGAACCACGGCGTCTCGGACGACCCCGAGTCCACCTCTCGGCAGCCGACGACGACGCCGGCCCCGAGAAAGAAGAAGACGCCCCTCCACGTTGGCCTGACCACCGGCTTCTGCGGCTCCTTCACTTCCTTCTCCTCCTTTGCCAGGGACGCCTTCCTGGCCCTGGTCGACGGCCTCGCCCCTGATCCGCCCGGCAGCAACAATGCCGGAACCAGCGGTGGTCGCTCCTTCATGGCCCTCCTCGCCGTCCTCCTCGCCACCGTCTCGCTCTCGCTCGCCGGCCTCTTCTCGGGCGCCCACGCGGCCCAGGCCCTGAAGCCCGCCGCCGCCGGACGCCCCGCTGCCCTCGGTTCCGTCCGGACCGCCCTCGACCGCGCCGCCCTGGTCGCTGCCTGGCCCTGCTGGGTGGCCGTCGTCGTGCTCGCCGCGGCCGCCGCGCCCCTGTCGGATGCGTGGCTGCGCGGCCAGGTGCTGTTCGCCCTCGCCTTCGCGCCCCTCGGCTGCCTGGCCCGCTACTACCTCTCGGCCGCCCTCAACGGCCGCCTGTGGCCCCGCTTCCCGCTCGGCACCTTCGCGGCCAATGTGGCGGGCACCGCCGTGCTGGCCGCCGCCTGGGACCTCGCCCGCGCCCGCGCCCGCCCCGACGGCGGCGGCGGCGGCCTGGCCGGCTGCCTGGTCCTGCAGGGGGTCCAGGATGGCTTCTGCGGCTGCCTCACGACCGTGTCCACGTGGGTTGCCGAGCTGGCCGAGCTGGGCCGCCGTCGCACGCGCGACGCCTACGTCTATGGCGCGTCGAGCGTCGCCGTGGCCCTCGTTCTGACTATCGCCATCATGGGGGGTTTCGCGTGGTCACATCCGGGAGACCTGGAGATGCACTGCGTATACTGACTATGGCTAGCTTTATTTCCCACCGTAATCGTAGAACTGCAAAAGAAGCTAATATAGCAAAATAATAATAAGGAGGATCATCACCTTTATAAAACATTCAAAATATTCATTCAATTGTGTCGGCGAAATCACCAAGTGTAGTAGTGGATGACAGCTGATGGATGTCTTGGGTTGTTGCGGTTTCTGAATTCCACGAGCAAACACGCTCTGGTTCTTTTGATATCTATAATGCCCTTTTCAACTCTGCGACCCATCGCCTTTTTTTTTCTTCAAACCTCAGCCAGAGATTGACAATCTTTCCCATAGAAGAGCAAACCCCGCAAATGTGAAGCATGTAGCAACAGCAAAAAAATAAGTGAGAAAAAAGACATGCGAGAAACTTCCTCGAGAATTAAAAACTTTGTGCAAATCATGCCGTTGCTTGAAGCCGCTCAGTCAAATCAACAAAAGCAAAGAACTACCCCCAGGGCGGCTACTGCAGCTTAGCCATTCTCCTCGACATGCTACAGAAAGACACAATCGGTTAGCAAGGTTCGCACAAGACACAGGGAAGGGGGGGCCTGAACCATCGGGATAGAGAGAACTTACAAGTCGTAGAAGGAAAACTGGCTCGGAGATGAGCCAAACTCGTAGACGAAGCGGCTCGCCAGGTAGCTGCCAAAGATGGCGCGCAGGTACTTGTCGGGCACCCTCTCGACAATGGTGTCGAGCCCTATCTTGTCCAGCAGCAGCTTGGGAAGCGCGTCGAGGAGGACGCTCGTGCGGATCTTGTCGTTAGTCCACAGCTCCGAGTGCTGCAGCTCCTCGTCCAGCGTCGTGATGGCCACCGACAGCTTGTCTGACAGGATCGACCGCTGGATGCCCGTCTGCTCGTGCTCGCGCCAGATGGCCTCGAACTCGAGCCGGGCGTTGTCGCAGATCTTGGCCTGTACCTCCTTGACGTACTGCTTGTAGAACTCAGGCGCGTTTCCGGCCGAGTCGTGGCACATGTGCTTAACGAAGCCCTCGTCGTCGAAGCTGAGCGAGGCCAGAACCTCGAGCGACGACGATGTCACTCCACCCTTGTTGGCACTGGCGTCCTTGATCAGAACGCAGCCGGCCGCCTCGAGCCGGAGCTTGGCGTCCTGCGTGATGAAGAGGTTGGCGCCCTCGACCATGTACGGGATCACCGACTTGCCGTCCTTGATAAGGCGGCCCACCGACACCAGATCGATCGACTCGGGCCGGCCACCGCATGGCACAAACATGTCGGTCAGACCCGTGTCGAGCAGGTGGTATGTGTTGCGGAACGCAGTACCGTTGGAGATGGTCTGGCCGTTGGGCAGCGTGACGTTGGTGTCGTCACAGAGAACCCGGAAGCCCTCGGGGCTGAGCTTGGACATGTCAAAGTGTGAGATCATGACACGCGCACGTGCCAGCCTCCGCAGCTCGTCGATGTCGATGCCGTTGGGGTCGCAGAGCACGCCCGACCCGTCGACCACGGACGTGTACTTCTCGTTGGACAGGAGAATCTCGTTGCTGCCAAGGTCGCCGTCTGGGCCGCCCGTCTGCATCTTCCTGACCGTCGATGGGTCGAGCTCCAGCTTCCGATAGACGCCCTTGACATACTCGCGCACCGACAGCGTCGTCATGCCGTAAGAGTCGTGAGGGATGCCACCGAGCTTGGGGGACTTGCCCGTGAAGAAGGACTTCCACCAAGGCGCCCCGCGGGCCCGGGCATGGCCAGTGGCCCAGTCCACCAGGTCGGCTGTGTTCTCGTCGGGACCCAGGAAGAGGATCTCGGGCTTGCCGTAGAGATCCACAATGGGGTTCTTGATGCCGGGCGTCTCAGCCGGGAGCAACAGGTCCAGGATACTGTCGATGTACTTCTCAAATGCCTCACGCGCCCGGTCCTGCTGCTTAGGGTCCAGCAGGATGACGCCCTTGGAGCCGCCCTCGGGGATGTCCTTGTTCTTACGCTGCTGCGTGCTGGCGAGTCCGTAGTTCTCGTCAAACAGGTTCCGGGCGTTGATGGAGTAGGCCTCCTTGCTGCGCGACTTGACAATGCGGATGCCTCCACGGGCAATGTCCTTGAAGCGCAGGTGGAAGCCACGCGACTCGGACGTGATGACGAGGAACATGCCGTACAGCGGCTTGGGATACTCAATATCGGGCAGGAACGACGCGTCCAGCCGGAAACTGAGAGCCACCTTGGTGGGCGTGAAGTAGTTGGTCTTGAGCACGGCATTGTTGAAGACGCGGAACGCCGTCATGACCATCTCCTCGTGCTCGTTGGACACCTCCTTAGTGATGCGGTCTTTGAGCCGGGCGTCTGTCAGCACCTCGACGGTGGGCGTGGGCGAGATGGCGTCACGCTCGAACCCGGGACCGACACTCAGGTGCACACTGGCGAAGGATGCGTATAGGGCGCGGACCAGGCCAGGGTAGGATGCGATGATTTCCAGAATGTAGTCGGGCGTGAATGTCTCGGTGCGCAGGCGGCGCTTGAGCTTGGAGAGGATCTCGGCGTGCACGTTGTTCTTAGGGTTCAGCGCCTCTGACAAGGACGCGTACTCGGAGCCGAGCCGGTTGAGGAAGTGCTGCACAAAGACCCATACGGAGTGGCCGTAGATTGCCTCCTGTAGGCTCAGCTCGCCCGTGGCGAAGAGGCTATGCAGCTTGTTCTGCGGGATGCAGTACAGCAGTGACGTCTCCTTGGTGATCTGGTGAATCGACTGCTCGATGGGCGGGTACTTGCCGTCCGAGTTGGGGGCCGGGCGGAGGTAGAGACTCATGACTGTGATGCCGTTCGAGAACTGCTCGACGTACTTGCGCGAGCTTGTGACGCCGTAGTAGTGGTAGAGGTCGCTGAGAGCGCTGAACATGCCGTGCGCCGTGCGCGAGCGGAACGCAACGACAAGACGCTTCTCGGGAGAGTCTTCAATGTCAAACACCTCGATGACAGGACCGGTGCGGTTCACGGCAAGCTCGATGATCTCCTGGTAGATCTGCTTGGTGTTCTTGGTAGCCTTGGCCAGGAACATGCGGTCGCTGATGACCTCGAGCCGCGTCTCGGTCGGCTCGGCGTTGGAGTCGACAAATGTGCACTGGTAGACAAAGTAGCAACGCAGGCTCGCGCCACTAGCAGCGTTCTGGCCCAGAACACCCGGCGAGCGGAATGTCTCGACACGGAACCGGCGGCTGGTGTCGTTGCCATCCAAGTACTTGGACTCCAGGCGGGTCTCGTAGCGCGGGCCGTCGATGGCACTCTGGCCAGGCTCGCTCGTGTCGATGTAGATGGCGTGATCTGACGCCTCCATATCAAGCCGAATCTCCTCACGCTTGTCCTCCCTAGAGAAGGCGGCAACCTTGGCTGCATATAGCGAAGTGATGTGGTTGGCAACCACCTTGGGGTCCTCCAGCTGGAAGTAGACATCGTCGATGCCCAGTTCGTTGTAGAACCAAGTGATCTGGGCTTCGACGACGGCTTCGGGAATCCAGCCCGCCTCCAGGATAATCCTCTTCACTATATCAGGGGTCAGCGGGCGGAAACAGCGAAGACTCCCGGCGACGCTTCGACGTACCTTCTTCCATTTGCTCCACCCTCCCTCCAAATTCAGGGGCCACATAGCCAACAGTGGCTGACCTAAGAACCCTGTGCCCATTGCCGTTGAGCCTTGCCAGGTGAGGGACGCTGAAATGCGTGGGCTGGGGAGAAGGATGGCGGGAGGGCTCATCCTTGACGCTGCTAAGCAGCTTCTGGGCTGGGTTTTCTGCGGGCGTCGACATGATGGGAAATCCCGAAAGCTCAAGAGGGTCTATATAATCCGGGAATCTATCCACGGGCAAGTCAGTCGGGGTCTGGATGGCCAGCATTGTGGAAATGAAGCGAGAAGATAGAACAAGGTAGCGATGGAAAGATATGGATGGCAGGGACGCGGCTCAGGTCTGTATGAGATGCATGGCTCTGATTGTAACAGTTCCAGCGAAGGGGCCCGCTACTTATAAGCGTGGACAATGTTGGGATGGGACAGCCGTGGAGAGGGAGATGCGAGGATAGGAATCTGGGCTGAGAACACGGGGCCGTATCGGCCGCAAGTACCAAAGCATAGCCTCAGCGGAAGCTACAGACGTCTTCGAGCGCACTTGCAGATCAGAGACGGGTGGGTTATCTGGAACCTTGTCGCACAGGCCCCAGGTCAGAGAGCTCACCGCCTCGTACACGAGGTCGAGATAAGAACTTCCTATCGGATTCAAAGCCTTGGATCGCGTGTGATTTGTCCTGGGCCGCTTGCTCACTTCCTGAACTGTCCGCGTTTATCGCGGAGCTGGCAAAACAGCCAACGATTGCAAGGTCGTACGAGGAAAGCAAGGAACAGGTCGCTTGGGATTGTGGTGGGTGGAGGACAAAGGCAAGTGACGAGAGCGAAGGAAACAAGGCATAGAGATGTGTCATGACGGCGAGTCTGAAGACCACCTTCCGCCAACGCTGCACTGTCCGGACGGGAGCAGACAAGTGGTCGGGGTGGAAGAGCCCGGCTAAACAAGGCACAGAGTGAGCGCGCATTGCTCTAGCTCTGTTTCTCCCCACGCCTAAGTTATGCGGAGTCAAACATGCAGACGCTGGGGAACTATCCCGACAACGAAGCCGCCGAGCCGCTGTTGGCGGGTCCAGAAGAACGGATGATGGGCTGGATATCTGGGCTGCTCCGGAGCCAAGTCCCGCGTACTTACACGATCTGGGCGGTACCTGGACGGGTGGGTATGTGGTACAGTGAACAGGTGGGAAAGAAGGAGTGTATGTTATGTTGCGTATGTCTCGCTTGCTTGAAGTACGATGTGAAGAAGGTGGAAGTGAAGAGGCAAGATATCACTAGGGAAGAGTGCAAATGCGTTGACGAAAATGGACCAGGTGTTGGGTGCTAGGTTGGCGAAAAGGGGGGTGCTTGGGATTGTCAGATGCAGGTGCGGACCAGGAAATCGGCGCTGGGTCGATAAGGCGCACGTCATGCCTTTGCTCTGCCTGGAGGTGGAACAGATGGCCTGGGTTCGGTGCAGGGCGGGGGAATTCAGGAACGGATTGGATTTCTTCTGGGTGTGGTGGGGCAGCCGCTTCCAAACCGACGCTAAGCTTGAGTGACGGGAAGACGCGGCCGCGTCGTGTTTTCAGATGCCATGGATCGAGTCCTGTCGAATCGCTGTCACCGCCCTTGCCGCCACTGAGGCCGCGTTGCCCGAGCAGGTGCGCAAAGGAGCTAATACGAGGCCCACCTGGGCGACTCGACTGTTGATTGTGGGTTTTTGCATTCCCTCTCGCCGACAGGGCAAAGACAGAGGGGCTGAAAATGACATGGCCGTATCCAAAAACGGGGGCAAGATAAGGAAGCATGGAAACAGGCCAGGCATCTGACTAAGACCATTCCCATTGGAACGCACCTGTGTCGGTATCTACTCGATGTATATGATTCGCCCTTGCCGCCGGCCGTTCCGATGAGCCGATCTCTCCAAGGGGTGTGTTTGGAAGCGAGAGAAGAAATAGAAAGGCTGCGTCCGAGGAGGCGGGGATGCAGACAAGTCAAGAGGTCAGGAGAGAAGCTAGTTGGGCGTCGGATAGTCTGTCGACGATATGGTCAGCTGGCGAGCGATAGGCGGACAAATTTAGGCACGGCGGAGGAAGGCTAAGGAACAGAAGTGAGGCGGAGCGGCTGATAAGAATCGCGCCGTGTCTGCACGTACCTGGGATAAGAGTGTACCTGTCTCGCCCGATAGAGATGGTCGAGATGCCCGGCAGACCAATAGCAGGAGTGAATGCTTGGTAGACTGCGAATCAGAAGGATGGCTCGGCGGGAGCTTGAGGGCCTGACACAAGGTAGACTCCTAGCCTGGGAAAAAGCGGCCTACCGGGTGGCTTTTATACTCTCCTACGTTGCGCGGCAGACACGATGGACCGCCCGGATTCCAGGACAGGAAGCCGGAAGTGGATACGATGCTGGAGATGGTTCCCTACCGTCATGTCTACGAGACAGGTACTTCCCGCCACCGCGACGCGCAAGTATTTTTTTTTTATTCTCGCCTCTTTCTCAAAGCAGTAAGAAAAAAACCCCGAATAGAACAGGAAACCCCCTAGTCCTTTTCCAACCCCGGGTTCTTTCTCAGCACGCAATTCCGAGCAGACGCATGTGACCAAATAGCTCCTCTCTCGACCATACCAGTCAAGGTTACGAAATCACCACTCCCCGCCAACCGAATTCTCGAGCCAATTCCCAGACCGAACTCCAGCAGCACCTCAGCCCGGACGGCATTAGCATTGGGCTGTGTCTCTCCCGTCTAGCGTCCTTACCCGCCTCCAATTGGCACTAGTCAATGTAGGCGAAGCTCTTGATGAAGATACTAATGACACGAACAAATGTCTTAGGTACCTTGAGCGTTATCCTAAACAAAGTCCAAGTTCTGGAACTCGTCGCTGGAACTGGGGTCGGTGGGTCTGCCCAAGCTTCAGTGCTTGGCTCAGCTGTGCGCTGGTCGAAACGGAAATTCGATACCCAGCAGCCCTTCCGTGCCACCATCAATGGAACCAGCCCAGCCGCAGCCCCTGAATCGATCGTTGTGGGCGCTAGGGGGATGTGGCAGATCCTGCCCCAATCAATGCCGGAGCCGATGTCAGGTGAGCAGTGAAGAAAATGAAAAATCAACCATGCCGGCAAACCCGCTAGCCGCCGTCTGGACGCTCGAGGGCATTATAGGGTATTGCAGGGCATTGCAAGGTACCGAGCTACATGGACGGATCGGTGAGCACGCAAAGCCTCCTCTGTTGGTCGGTCCCCTTGGACATCTTGGACAAGTAGGTACCTACCTTGCCGACCTAGGTAAGGTACCAACTAAAAACAAAAAACAGCACACTTTAGGAAGACCGGCAAGCAAAGTGGGGGTAAAGGCCTCTATTCTAATTGGCTGCTCCCGGCCAATGATTGGCTAAATTTTTTAAAGTGTGCTGTTTTTCGTTTTCCGTTGGTGGGTACCTGACAGTCCCCCCTGGCCGCAGCAAGGTCTCCACGATCCACCATCAACTGGGCACCACCAAACAGCCCCAAGGGCGGCCAGCCGGACCCAGCATGGAACCCACATGTGCACGATATGTTCGTCGATAGCGCGCATGTTCGCACGGTTTAGCGTTGCAGGTGCAGGCCGAAACCTGCCTGCAGCGACGCACAAAGGAAACACAATGGAATGGAGAGCATCAACGGTGTGTCAAAGTTGTCGGGTCTGTACGTAAAAGTACGTAATAAGGTCGACGCTGCTGGCCCGTCCATGGCGGCACCTGGCGGACCGTCCTCCAGGCTCCGGACGGGGACCAGCCCGGCTGACCTCCCTCCCCGCGCTCCAGGTCGCTCCAGGGGGGCGAGACCGAGTTTCCATTACCCCCAGCTTATTGAGTGCGGAGCCCTGGCGGCATCATGGGGTAAAATTTCGACTTGTCCTCATGATGCCTCGAAATTTCGGCTGCAGGCAGGGCCAACGCCCAGGTGCCAGGGCTGCCAGCTCCCGGCCCCCTGGTCTTTGCCTCGCCCTCGCCCAACTGTTGGGTGACTGAGCACCGACCGACTGGCTTTTTGGCCCCCAGGCTGTCGCCGCCTTTGGGCTTTCTTTGGCAAGTTCATCCTTTTTTTCTGGTTGCTGGGCTTCAGGTATTCGTAAATTCTTCCGTTTGTGTGTCATTTGCTTTCCCAACCTGGACACCGACGAGCTCCAGCATTGTACCCAAAAGCTCACCGCCACTCGATTTTTTCTTCTCTTATTATTTTTCCTTCTTTGTTCCACCCCTTGTTCAATCCGATCACACCTGGACCTCTTTCTCGAATCGTCCACTTCGCAGTTAGAGAAGCTCGCCCATCTCTTGCCGTCTTTTTTCCCCTGTTTTTTCTTCTCTTGTCGGTCTTGTCGCCTTCATTTCACTCTACCATCGTTTGATGCCACCAGCGAGTGCTATTCCCGTGGCTGATCAAGCAACCCGTAAAAATAAATCGTTCTTCTGCCCCCTACTGGACCACAAAATGGATTGACATCCTATCCGCTCGTTTCTCCCGCTGTTCCCCGCAAATTGGCCAGAACGGAAGCAAGCGAGCCCTACATCTCCCTGGCATAGGCCAATGGGACTCCATGTGACTTACTGTTCCAAAAGCTTGAACTTGTTTCAATGCGAACCGCCCTAACTGGCTGGGCACGTGGACTAGCCCATTCCGCACAAGACCAACCCGAACCACCCATCCCAGACCGCGTGGTCGCTGAAAAGGCAAGTGTACGCAGGCAGATCCCAAGCAAGATGCCGGGAGCCCCGGCAACCTGGGTCTAAGTCAAACGACCTGTGTTGTGGAACTTTCTGATCTCCTTCTAGACAGAGACGTCGACACCTTCCGAGCTGCTGTAATTTGTTTGCCGCCGAACCGCTGATTTAGTCCAATAACGATCCTGTCTCGGACAGCATCGCCGACATTTCCTTCCTTTCTTGTCTTACTGGCTCCCTCACTTTGGGGTCCTTTTCTATTGCCTGCCTCCAATCTCATCTCACTTGGGCACTCAGGCTGATAGATGCAGTGACTGACACGATGGTCGGTCAATGTGCAGCGCCCGACGCGCTCAACTTCCGTAGTTCCATCACGCCAAAACTCGTCTCAACAACCAGACGTCGCAGTGTACTTCGAGGGACAGGCCACCAATGAAGTTGGTCGCCGGCGCCAGAGCAAGGCAACAAGTAGGAACTTGTGGCCCTGGGGCAAGTCTACAAGCGGCGAAGCCCAACCCTCCCGCGTAGACTCCAAAACCTACAGTGGCTGTATGTGGCCTTTGAAAAAACCAGTGTCGGCGCCGTGACAAGTTCCGTGCCATCAGTAGCACTGAAAAGGGCGACACGTAATTTCTTGCCCCTAACATAGAGTATTGGTGGGTCTCATGACTTTTGCGACTTCTTTGCGGACGAACTCCAGATCGTCGACCATCTCAATGTTCGCTTCTCCAAGCCAAACACATACCCAGATCCCCCTTTTATGAAACGCGGGCCTGCCATTTTTGTGGACATGATCGACCTGGTGCTGCCAATAGCTCCGGAGTGGAAAGCATACAGTTATGGACAAAGGATCAAAGAGGAATGCGGGGAGTACTGCTTGGAGTAACAAAAAAACGAAAGCGCTATCGACCAGTGCCGCCACCCACATACGACGTCTGACCGACCAGACGGCCTCTGCGCCGCAGAACCCCCGTTCATCCCCGGTGAGTGTTTTGTTTAAGATCTCTTCCCCCTCTCATCCCCCCTTCCCCTTGGGGTGGTGCCTGGAAACCGGCACATTTAGTCGTAAAATGAACCGCAGTTATTAGTGGAGGTTGTAGCTTGCCAGAATGCATCTGTCCAATGGGAGGGTGAGTCTCCGAAAGGCTGGGGTTGGGCACCCATCGGGCGGACAGCCGCATCGTAAGCTGACAAGCCGCCTGTAACGGTTTAAGCACCAAGGCAGGGAGATAGGTCACATGAGAGGATCTCAATCATAAAACCCCACCATATTCCCCTCCGTCATGTATAATACTTCTTTCCTCCTCACCATAGAATCTTCGTCTATAGGTGCCAATAGATCATCGTCCTCGCGACATGTCTAGGATTATCCGGCCGTGACACCGCGACCCTCGGCAGATTTTAGGCGGCCTGCGCACAGCCCTTTCGATAAGTGTCTCATATTAGAAGGCGATGGCTTGTTCTCTATCCTCTCTACTCCCATAAATCTCAACCATACAGCTGTCTTCGCCCCATTAGCTTTAATCGGACCAACGCCGCAGTCGAACGACGCCTACAAAATCGGTGCCACCACCTCGACGTCGTTCGAATAGCTCAAATACACAGAAATGGCCGCTAAGCTTGATTCCAAAATAAGCAGCCTCTACCAGCCACTCGAGCCCAACCAGGTCCGCCTGTTACAATTAAACCCAGACGCCAACGCTATCGACCTCGGAGGCTTCAAAGTGGTAGACCTGTGCGACACTCCTCCGTATTACGCCCTCAGCCATAGCTGGACCAGCCAGGACAGGTACACAAACGTCAGTGTCGGCGGCTATCCGCTCACCCTGGCCACCGATCTCGTCGCCTGCGTAAAACGACTTTCGCAGCTATGGCACAAAAAAACCGACCTCAAGCCACACGTCCAATATGCATGGATCGACAGCATCTGCATCGACCAGTCCAACCTGGCTGAGCGCTCGGCCCAGGTCGCCCTCATGGGGAGGCTTTACCGCGGATCCATTAGGACGCTCATTTGGCTAGGGGACGATGACGACAACTGCTTCGAGGCGTGGACGCTTCTCGACCACATCTACACCATCTGTCGGCAACAGAATCCAACGGTGTCAGACCCATCCGACATACCTGCTCGGATTTTCCTGCAGTCTGCCCACGACGCCTCCGGCCTTCCCGCCTGGGACGACCAGAAGTGGACGCATCTGGCCCGGCTCATGCAGCGCAGATGGTTCTCCAGGATCTGGGTCGTGCAGGAGGTGGCGCTGTCGCGGCTGGACCCCGTCGTCCTCCACGGAGACCACTGCTATCCCTGGAGCCGCATCGGCTGGGCGGCTGCCTGGTTCCGCAAGAACGGCTACATGCGACTACCGCAGATACCCGAGATGCTGCGGAACGTCTACTCCATGACCCCGCTTCGGCAGGCGGGCGAGCTGTGGCCCCTCGACGCGCTCGTGGCCATGACGCAAATCAAGTTTAACGCAACCGACCAGAGGGATAAGATCTACGGCTTGTTGGGTCTTGCACGCGAATTCCAAGACCCTTTCGATCTGCCTGACGAGCTGCAGCCCGACTATACCATCGACATGGCCGAGCTGTGCCCGAAGATGGCGCGGTTCATGCTGGGCCGGAGTCGGTCGCTGGCGCTCCTCACCCGTGCGCGGGGACTCGGGGGCACTATATCGAGGAAACAGCGGGCGCAGGATCTGGATTTACCATCGTGGTGTCCTGACTGGAGCGATTTAGTGATTCCCAACGAGGGCATCGCGACGAGCCTGTCGTGGGTGGACTGGAAGGAGAGGTCGAAGCCTGCCCGATTCGGCTTTCTCAAACAGTTTTCCGCGTCGGCCGGCATCGAACTCGACATGGAAGACCATGTGGAGGATCCTCGGACTCTTGCCCTTCGTGGTATACGGGTGAGCGAGGTTGAGAACGTGACTCCTTTCGCGGTCAACCTATCCCGCAAGACCGAGCCCGAGGAGCCATTCACGGCGCAGATGATCCAAATCCTCTCCCAGGCACTCAGGCTTCTTCGCAGACACTCTTCCTGTCACACGGGGATTGAGCCGGTGCCGATTGAGGGCCGTTAGGACGGCCAACAGGACGAATCACAAGGACCTCGCATGTACTACGCGCCCGGTCGAGAGGGGTAGCTCCCCTCGCCGGGACACGTACCCGGTCATACCCCTCTCTCTCTCGGTCTCTCAGACGGCCTATATAAAAGAGGCCCTTCGCTCAAGGAGCTCCTGGGAGATTCTGCTTCCTTAAGCATCTCCTAAAGGCCTTGAGAAATTATCAATACATTGAGCACTCTCCAAGCCGGTTATTGATCCCTTTGTAACAAATAATTTCTCATCTCTCCGGGACTGCCTTGACAGCACCTATACCTCTGTTAGGAAGGGGCGCCATCAATCCAAACTACTCCCAAGCACCTACTTGCCTCCATGGGCTCGATTCCCCTCCTCATCGCGCAGATCCTTGATAGCGTTGCCGCGATTATACGCTCTTGGGCAGATGACCAAGCCGGCAAGCCGAAATCTGCCCCTGTGGACGAAGAGAGTCTTATCGGGTTAAATGTTTCCCCTTTTCGTTGCCAGCACTGCACCCGCCCTGCGCTTAAAGGATCGCGGTCTTGCACTTATCATCTCACAAGGACCGAACGCGACCAACAATCCCGCTAGAAGACCGACTTTAGCGTCGGTCACCGTCACAACGGACCCCAACAAGCCCTTGCAATCGGCTACCCCGCAGCCGCCTGCTTTTGTTAATAGGCCAATCGATAAGTCCCCTAATCCGCTCGTTGCTTTAGGCAGAAAACCCACCCCTGCCTTCAAAAGGCTACGAGCGCCCTCCGGGTCAATCAACCCGCACCAAGTAACCTTACCAACAGCCACAGGACTCGCAATTATCGGTGAAGATCGCTTCGTACGAGTCGAGAGGCAGCAAGAAGACCTCCGACAAAACCTGACGGCTCGAGTTGACGTCCTGACCGAGGACTTTGACCACGCACGCGACTCCACACGTTCCATCCTCACCCAAGCAAGTCAACAATACGAGTCCACCTTACAGCTCCTCGAGGACAGCAAGACCGAGCGAACGACTTACGAGGGAGCTGTTGCGCGACGTATGGACACCATCGAAAAGCGCCTCCGTTACGAAGCAAGCCAGGCCCTTAACAGCCTCGCCCAGCAGATCGAGTCCACACAAGGAAACCTCTCCGCCCTGTCACAACAAGTCCAAGCACGAGGAAAGACCACCAAAAAACAACTCGCTGTCCTCCAAGAAGAATAGAGGGAGACTGTTAGGAAAATTCGGTTGTCCTTCGTTCGGCAGAAGCAGGAGCACGACCTTTTCAGACAAAAGCTTAATCGACTCTCGCTCCTAACCCACGCGGTGAAGGCCAACACCGAGGACACAAACCCCTTCGACGAGATTAGGGCACGCTATAAGGACCTCCACAAAGAAATTATCAGCAACTCGGAACGGATCCAACAACAAAACAACGCCATCGCCGCCCTAAAGCACAGCCTCAACGTGGTAGCCGAGCTTTATCAGGACCACTCTAGGCAGATCTCCCGCATCACCTCGCCAGAACCCCTGCCTACGTACGACGAAAGTCGACGCGCCTCCATCGAACCCCTTTCGCTAGACGCAATTATGGCAGACGGCGAGCAAGCACCCAAGCCCCGGGGCCGGGCCTCCTCTCAGCCCCCCAAGAATACTCCAGAGGCCACCAACGGCAGCAACGCGGCCTCTTCCGGGAACGACACGTCGGGACCTGCCACTGAACCACGGAGGCCCCGGTTATCCCACTCCCGCGCCCCCAGTGAGAATCGAACGAGGCAGGATACCCCCATGTTCGACCCAAACACTGGAGCCATCGTTTTGTACACGGCCCCAACTTTCGACGAGCTTTGGCAGAGCAACGGGGGAAAACAGCTTTTGCCCATCCCCCAAGGGACAGATTACCAGCCCCGGATCCCAGGGGACCCAGCATACTCTCAATGGATGAAGGAAATCCATGGTGGCCTTCAAACGCTCCACCAAGCAGTGCTCGCCTTGCGCAATAGGGTACGGGACCCAACGCAGGTACCCGAACTGGTGCAATCCCAAATGGCAGAGCTACGCCAGCAATACGACCTTACGCGTTAAAACTACATGACGGTCTCCCAGATCGTCCAAGACGGCCTAACCATTTCAAAGGACCAGGCACGCTCCTTTGAGAAAAGAATGATTGAAGGAAGCAACCAGTTTGCGGCCAAAGTCTGGGATGTTATCGCCAAAACCGCCAGCAACGCCTCCATTCGCGACCACGCCTACGAGGAAATGAAAAAGGCCCACGAAGCCCACCGGCAAACAATCGAAGAGATGCATTACCGCTTCGCCCATACCATCGGGTCGGTCGAACAATGGGCCGGCCACACGGAGCATCGGGTGGCCAGCACTGAGCAAAGGCTGGACCATATAAAGGGGCAACAGGAGGCAATTAGTGCTTACCCCCTGACCACCCTGGAGCAGCAACAAGCCTTCGCCGAAAACATTATTGCCGAAGTCAACAGACGGTTGGCCAAAGGCAAACAGGTAGATACGGCTACCATCCTGTCCCGAGTAGCCTCCCGACAGGCGTTTCGCCAAACCACTCCGGCCATGCAAGCCATGCCCCCAATACCTGTCTCCTTCGCAAAAACGGCTCATTCCAAATCCTCCGCCTTCCGATCCGACCCTACCATGATAAGGGCCAATACAGCCCCGAGCCTTGCTCCCTTTGCCCTAAAGCAGACCAGTTCCATGCACCGACAAGCGATGCGTGAGGACCCTGCGGGCCTTATGGCAGCGATACACCGGCAAGCCAGGGAGAGCTCGTACTTCCAAATGTTAGGGATGACCAGCGGAGTCCCCCCGAGAGGAATATCCTCCTATCGACCACCGGCCCCACCGGGCGATAATCCTTCCTCTTCGGACTTAAACGGGGACGGGCCACGGCAGCCCCCAGGACCACCGCGTCGCCCCCGAGCCAACTCATTACCCGCGGGGAGGGACCCTTCCCGGCGGCATGGCGCCATTTTTATGGTGAACCCCGTTTTACTTAAAGCCCCGCCTACCTTCGATGGCAAAAAGACGGACTTTAAGGACTGGTGGTACATGGTCCGGGCCTATATAAACGCCGTCCCCCAAACATTTACTGGCGACGACCACAAAATTTCCTGGGTTGGTTCTTACCTTAAAAGGGCAGCTTTAAGGGTCCACGTAGGAAAAGCCAGGATGCTGGAAGCACATGGCCTACCCGACACCTGGAACGCCTACGCGGGCTTTCTGGCCAAGCAATTCCGGGACCCCAATAAGGAACGAACAGATTCCATAAAGCTGAACGCCCTCGAATACAAGGATAACATTACCGGGTTTTTTATGGAGCTAACTCAACTTAACGCTACCATTAAGCTTACCGGGACGCGTTTTAAGGACTTCGTTAGAAAAAAGCTCCCAAGGGAAATAAGCCGCCTCGTTTTTGCCAACAAGGGACACATCCCCGACGTGGACGAGGAGTTCCTGGAGTCATTTCAACAAGCCGGCGTTACTTATAAGCTTATGATGGCCGACAAAAGCACCCTCCAGAAGCTTCAAACGGGGGACCAAGGACTTAAGGAAAAGGGAAAAGACGAGCCCGCTTCGACTTCGGAGCGCTCGAACGCGGGCCGTCCCCGCGACAAAAGCTCCAAGGCCCCCTACGGCCAATCCTCAAACTCCCGCACCGCAGCAAACAAAGGTCCAACTCTTGCTTAAGCCCGCAAGGACAACATTTGGTCCACAACCAGGGCCGCCCTTAATGGCATCAACCAGAAAGACATCGATGCTAGGAAAGAGGAAGGCATCAATTGCTGGCGCTGCGGTAAAAATAACCACCACACCCGAAATTGCTTCGCCAGAAAAGACACCGAAGGGAAGGACCTCCCTCCGGCACCAGCGAAGACCGCGGCCGGAAGCAAAAGGCCCGCGATTGAGCCTCCGGATACGAAGGAGGAAAACCAAGAAAAGCCCGCCAAGAAAGTTAGAATTGCTGGCCTCGCCATACACGATCCTAAGCCCACTTACAACCGCTTTTTCGAAGAGATTGATACAGACTCCGACTGCTAAGGGTTAAGGGTTTCGATGACACCACCCAAAGGACAATGGGAAACAAATAACGTTACCCAGACCGCCATCTGTGCCTTCCTACAGGCGCGACTCACAGGCTCGTCCCGGGTAATCACGAGACCCATAGTTGACATGGCCCTACGCATTAAAGGCCAGGAAGAAAGAACAGTTAGGGTCCTCCTAGATTGCGGCAGCGACAACGGCTACCTTATTTCTACCCAACTAGCCGCAGAACTACAGCCACACGTTGCCAAACGCACCATCCCGCGGGTTATGTCCAACTTTACAGGGCACAAGGAGGATCCCTTAACACATTATATCCCCCGAGTCACCCTGCGACACTACGACCACCGGTCTTGCGTGGACCTTGACGTGTCGGACTTGGACCCGGATTGTGACGTACTTTTCCCCGTCCAATGGATAACACGGCATTACCCAACCGGAATCTTTAAACGAGACCATGACGACATCCGCTTCGATACCGACGAATGCAGGTCCTGTCGCAAACCCAGATTTCGCGGGGTTTCCGACCCACGAGACCCGGCAAACATCTCCAACACCGACCCCGCCACAATCGCTTTGGTTAAAGGAATGACGAAAATAGCTCCCACAATGGACAGCACAGCCAACGAATTCGACGGTGTCCCCGAGAAGTTCCGCGAGTTCCTCCCTATCATGTCACCAGAGGCAGCAATGCGTTTACCCGACCATCAGCCTTAGGACCATAAGATCCATCTAAAGGAGGGAGCAACCCTTAATTGGGGACCCATTTACAACCTTAGCGAGCGAGAACTCGGCGTGCTGAAACCATGGCTTACAAAAAACCTAAAAGCAGGCCGGTTGTATAAGGGCAAAGGCGCGGTCGGCGCACCTTTCATATTTGCCGAAAAAAAGGACCCCAAGGATCCTTTGCGACCAGTAATCGACTACCGAGACGTTAACTCCAAGACCATTCCGG